TAGAAAATAACTAGGGATTTGGTCTAAAACTTAGGATGTGCCTGTTGGCATAGGTACCATATAACAGTTTCAGCTTAAAATACCATGTTTTGATGACGCTGTAAACATGCGTACGAAACGCAGGTCTTCGTCTATGGATAATCTCAAATTTTTGCATACGTTTTTTTAAATTTTAAATGTGTGCTGCATATTTCCAGGTCTAGCCTTGCTTTTACATGTCTCAGCTCTTCTTTTTGCAAACAAGTACAACATTTGATTTTGAGGATTGTATTTCATGCTACTAATGGCAAAACAGTTATGAATACTTTCGAGATCAATATTAATTTTAGCCCGAAAATGTAAAGTTATTTTCGGAAAGTTGTGATGCTGTACAGCATTGTATATGCACAGTCCAATGGTGACGGACGAAAATCGAACGGCTTGACTTCGAGCCACAATAAATCCATCTGTGGGAAACGAATTGAAGTTAACGGTTGTGCACAAAGGATGTGATGTCCTTTCAGAACGTCAAAATGAAAGCAATGAGTTTACTTTCGGACGCGAGACTAGATGCCATTCATTCTTTGTTTGAAATGCAGTCGTAGAAAATGCGGGAAGAGACGAACAATGAATTATTATTCATGGAACAATTCCCCAAATACATACTACAGATAATGCAAATGTAGTTCAACATAAAATTTGAAATAATGGATACCGTCAATCAGAACGATTCCGAAAGATTCATGCGATTTAAAAGAATTCGCCCCTTTTTATGTTTGCCATTAGTATTATAGCGTTTTTTTGGGTCCTTTTGGGGACTAATTTACTTAACTTGACTATATAGAACATTTATGTACACCACTGTTTGTGTCTAACTACTTATTTACGAATTATTATGTCGCGCAATTCACTAAACTATACTCTACTCTGCTTCCCTCTCCCGGCCGTCGACCTATATAGTCCGTATCGCAGGTACTCGTTGATTCGAGAAGGTTCCGGTGAGCCACATAGCGGCAGCCCAGAATTTTCGTGGCCACTTCGCGTCAATCTCGAATAAGAGACTCTGGCACGGCCCCCAACAGATGTCGCCACCGCAGGAGAGTCTGGCGCGGTCCCTAACAGATGGCGCCAATAGTACTTTCATTCTTGTTACATTAATATTGTAGATCGAGTGCCCATAACGGCCAGACCGTCGTTATTTTATAAAACCTGAAAGTTTATCTGTGCTTGACCCCAACACAGGTAAGAACTCAGAGACTATGAAATTTGGATAGTGGTTACTTTTGACAGGTACAGGTAGCAACAGTGTATAAAATAGTACCTCAAATTTCTTAAAGTATAAATTTGTATATTTGTATATAAATATGTATATTTTCTTAAGAACCATATTAGAAATGACGTCATCCATTGCCAGATACTTAGTACAGTTTTAACCCATTGCCAGGCACCCCTAAACAATAAAAAATCAGAGTTCAACTTTAGTCATAGTATAAAAGCTAAAATTCATATGTAATGCTTGGGGGACTATCAAAAGATGTTACCCTAGTATACAGACAGTTTTAATAGTTTTAAAATTGTGCCAGACACATTGCAAGTCTGCCGTAGATGCGATGCGAGCGAGATAGAGTCAAAAAAATGTCTGTCAAATATGACCAGTAGATCAATGACGTTCAGCTCGGCATCACTGTTGCTATTGTGTAGCAAAGACGGTCCAAGTTGAGCAAACGTGAGTTGTTTCGATCACATACATTGTTATTGATGCAGAAGTATTGTTGAAACTAAAGCACGGGAGTAATCGTAGATATTAGTGAAGTTTTAACATCATCAATATTACATATTAACAACAATAGCGTTAAAAGTCCTTGACTAAGTGTTTACATGTGACAGACAAACCAACCCCGCCACCCGGTAATGCTTCATTTAATAATATGGTTATAAAAATAATAAAATCAATTTTTCGTTGAATTCCTTACTATAAACAATACCATTCAATAAACAATTGGATTTATCAAAGAATTAGCAAAATCCTAAAAGGCTATGGATTCATTTATTAGATTTGTTTTTGATTCTTACACATGAACATTGTATTAGATATTTTTTTAAAAATTGATTCTTTAGTCATAACCAATGCTATGCTATGATTTTTTTGATATATACAGAAATACTGTGCAGCATATAATTAATACTGAGTTAATGACAGTTGCGTAGTAAAAGATCGCGGTAGAAAAAATTCACTATCTCACTCGCATCCGGTTGAATAGGTGTATAATATTGTCTCGCGCTCCACCTACGGTGGACTTGCAATGAGTCTGGAACAATTTTAAAACAAGTAAAACTGTCTGGCTATTGGGGTAACATATTCTGATAGTCCCACAATATTATTCTGAAGAAAATAGAAAACTAGGCTTTATACTTTTAAGGAATTTGAGGTACTATTTTATATACCGTTTCTACCTGTTACCTGCCAAATTAACCACTATCCAAATTCCATAGTCACTGAGCATCCTTACCTGTGTTGGAGACATGCACAGAGGAACCTTCAGGTTTTATAAAGTAAGGAAGGTCTTGCCGTCGCGGGCTCCTACTGTATTATAGTCGTTGACAGTTTTAGATGAAAAGGGTGTTTCAAATTCAACCCTCATCGGATCTTGGAAACTGTAAGAGATACGAAGTCCGTTAAATGGGACAAAGTTGTGTATTTTGGTAAGGAACAAAATACCGCTTAGAAAGTTCCGAAATTTAAAGTACTTCCGGAGAGAGGCGCATTGTCACTTTTTCTCCTCTATAAGATAGCATAATTAGAATGTCAATATGATGTTTGATCTCATGTTTTTCATAACCAACTTTATTTTTTCTTATGGAAGTTATATTAGATTTTTGCATAGATGAATATAGTGTTTAATTCTGATTATAAAATGTATCAATCAATACATTGACATTGCCAAGCCTTAATTATTTCAAAAAAGCATAATTTACTAAGTAGGCCTTGGAATTAGTAGATAGTCATTTGTTTCGCATCTTTTTATCCCAAAATCATTTTTATTTTTTGTCTCTCTTTATTTGATTTTTTATTTGTTGTTGTTACTTATACTCCTCTACAAGATGAGAATTTTTTAAATCGGTCTGTCTTCTTTTGTCTTCCTTCATCAAATTTGTTTTTCCAATGGACGCTATATTGGAATTTTGTACATTTAAATGGATTTTCAGTCCTAAATTTAGTGATGTATTTTTCCTTAGTTGAAAATGAAGTTCTTTTTGGATGAAAATTATAAGGAAATAAAAAGGTATTGTGAGACCTGAACACAAAACGAATATTTTATTGATGGTAATAACAATAATAACCATAAATAACCAGAGATAAATCATAGCAGATGTTCAAAATGTTGTGCGTTATTTTGTAGGCAAAGCTATGTTTCTATGTTCAATTTGAGGTGGTCTGGCATTCAAAACAAATGAAATCTGATCATTTGAAGGCCTACCTAGGAACTTCTGTTTTTCTGGACTAACATAGGTACAGGCAATGTCAATATAAAAAAATCCAATATGGTGCCCATAAGAAAAATGATGCTTGTAGGACAATAATACAAACGTCATATTGAGATTCTGATTATGCCATCTTGTAGAGGAAGAAGAGTGACAATGTTAACGTACAATTTATTTTGGAATTCAACTACAAATAAAGCCAATTAAAAATTGAAACGATTTTGGGAAAATTGGGTTTTTTTCCGTCTCTCTCCGGAAGTACTTTTAAATCATTGATATCAAAAAGTAATGATGCCAGATGTACATATATTCAGAAATAACGATATAGCTCATCTCTAGTCATCACGGACATACATATTATCATGATTGCACTGCTTGAAAACTTCATATCACAATAGGAAGAAATCGTTCGAACGTATTGTAAAACGTTATAAGAAATGATAATATCGAAATAATCTTATTCAGAAGCCTGTGGTTTTATCAGAAAAAATAACGGAGAATTTGATCTAATCTTAATGCCACCAGCGTTTAGATACCGATTAACGTATTTTACGTGACGATAGGCAACTTAATACTATATTCCCGCGTTCAAAAGATGATTCGAGATGCACTGAGATACTGTACAGTCATCTGTCTTTGACTAGTTTTCAACATTTCGTATCGGTACGCGATGCAGCGAAAACTTTGAGGTCGGCTGTTGGACTGGTTTACAAATAAAAACAGATCTATGTGCGCACCATTCTTGGTTTGGCGATTCACTTATAGATCGCTCTGCATATACAGAACCATGAAATATGAAGAAAACGCTACGTTTATTCTGAGCTGAATAGAGTTCGGTTATTTTCACGTTTCACGTCTAAATTACTGGCAACCCTGGAAAATAGATCGACGATTGGTCAATTACCCAATTTGTGCTTAGAAAACTTGAATTTCAAGCTAACCCGCCTCTTTTGTTGCTAAGCGAAATCGTCTAATATTTCGCTTAGGTTCATAAAAGTTGAATAGCTACGCGATAACAAGTTTTGAGAATCACTTCGCTCGCGAAAATGCTATTGAATAAAAAATATATTTCGTAGGCGGAAAACGGATGATAAATATCCCCATCATGAATGAATGTCCAAACAAAAGTAGATTTCATCAAAAAATGCATTCACTGCAAGTGATAATAAATAATTTCATCTAAAAAGGATTATCCGTATGTATCTCCGACTATATAAGAACAGCTTGTGTTCATGCACTATCAGCTGTTTTGTGGATGCCATGTTTTTGAAGTTATAGTCTGTCTCTCTCTAATTTCTTTCGCCTTTTCTGACTGCCCCCTTTTTACCTATTAATATTATACCGCGGGCCCACGGTTTATAGCTCGATGCTCTGACCGCCGAGCTACGGAGGCTCCCTTCGATTCGAGTAACCTATAAACTATAAGTCCTGCTTATCGAATAAAATCATTTTAGTATTATTAGATATCTCATAATAACCGATCTTTCCTTACCTTTCCGTGTTGATATAGTTAATATAAATGATATTCCCTTTGTTTCAGGTGTACGTCAACGCCCGGCATGGGGGACCCACCGCCGCCCTTAACGTGACTGCCCCGCCTATCTCGCACGATGCCACGCCCACTCCGCACGATGCCCCGCCTATCGAGTCGTTAGTTCCGCCTCCGTTTAAATGACGGTGTCCGCCCGCGCGTGGTTATGTCGCAGGGCGTCACCGCGCGGGTTCGCCACCGCCGCTGTCAGTTTGACGGTCGTTTTGTGTTTTTATTATACCACGTTCACGTCGGATGTCGGACAGCGGGTAAGTGATAGACTTTTTTTATAATTTTCGTTGTAGAGCTTTGATAAAATGAACTTTATTGGCGATTCGGATGTGTGTATATGTATATTTTCTACAACTAATTTCAGAGTCGCCACGCAACAAAGAATCTGGGAAAATTAAAGTGCTTAGTGAATTCATGAAAAATTCAGGGATATTGTGATATGGGCAGGGATAATCAAGTTTACTTTGAGGTTTCTTTATGCAAACTTTTTATTTTTGTATCTCATTGCTACGTACAGTGTCTGTGGTAATTTTGTATGCTAATTTACAATACGACCAGAAAATGTAGTGTGGCGAAATCTCATTTGCAGCTGGAAAATGGGAATTTTAGGACGTTTCCTCGATCTTAGCGAAAAACTAACATCAGACTTCGAATATGGCTAATAAAAAATTATGAATGGACGCGAAGTCCAATTTGGAGTAGAAAATGAGACTTTTGGGACCTCTTGTTGATCACAGCGAAAAGCTGACAACAGATTCGTGATCTACGCTTATAATTTTCCCAAGAAACGGGTTTTGCCGGGGATTGCCAATAGGCAACATTTTTAACAAAATTCTCGAATTTCCTCCATTCGTTTGGCCATTATGGATGCTAAGAAAGCCGAAACGCCAGTAAAGTTTGCTACACTTGAATCCATGTAGCTTCAATTTCTGGATAATGTAGTCTGTTCAAACAAAAAATAGCGTAGTTAGAATCTACGAATTCGATTAGATCATATATATTTTTACTTTGCATTGTTTATCGCAAAAATTGTGAGGTTTTAGTGCATACTTTTGGGTAATTTGACTACCAAAGTAACAAACTAATACATCGGCATACATTTTTTTCTTTGGCGACGATATTCAAGTAACTATTCGTAGTCCAGCTTAATTCGTGATTTTGGAAGGTGAACTTTACGAAACATTCTCTCCACCAAACAGCAACAATGGCGGAATACCTGATATTGGAAAAACTGGGTTACCTTGCATGAATTCTATTCGGTTTTTCTAAAAAAGTTTGTGATCCGACCAGATTCTTGGTTAAAAGGAAATACCTACGTACTTGAGCATAATATGAAATTCCTCCTATTATGTTTATTTATTCAATACAAAGGATTGAAAGTATTGTAATGAATTTGATATTCATAGTTCTTTTGCGTACTGAGCTTCCTCCACATAACACGAAAGTACCATTTCTGGAAACATTTAGAATCAAAATTACACTTTTTTTAAATTAACTTAACTTTTTAAATTTCAGTTTAGTGAAATTTTGGGTTGACCGTTTTCAGAATCGAACAAAAAATTTGGTATGCTTCCAATATTTTGCATTTTTCAATGTTGTTGTTGAGTATACAATTCTGTTTACAAATTTTGGATTTGTACTAAGTGCTTAATGAAAGAAGAAGTGAAATGAAATAAATCAAAATTACATCACAACTGTCTAGGTCGCCCAATGCTGAGGTACATCGCTATCGAAACGCCGCTGATTATAATATATAAAACACTTATCGATAAAAAGATTTGCTCTTATTCAGTTTAATCTACTTTTTGCAATCCACAGAAACATTCACCATGTTCGACACGTGTCTGAAAGCACTTTTATATGGTTTCCCAGAAAAGTACAAATTTAATGTGAAATATCAACAACATCAAACTGGCGGCTTAAGCCTGATCGACCTGTAGTATGAACTTGCATCATGACTATTCAATTCAAAACAAGTTATTTACAAAGATAAACTAAACGAACGAATCATGCGTAGAACCGATAAGTATAAAATAATATTTGTGTCGATATAAAAGCGAAGTGCAAATAAAACCTAAAATTTTAAAAACACATCACATATATAAAAGCACTATGCTATACTAAAATACATACATACTACAATACAAGTGCATAATTATACTACATTTGATCTACATCTACATATTGACTACATAATTTTGGTTACAAACAAATCGTATACTTGCTCTTCTACCTAGTCCGAATTGTTGATTATAATGGATTTGTAATATTCTTAAACTGACTGACACTTGCGTTTTTTTGTCAATTTGTCTCTTCCTCTATCAGGTGAATCCATCGATAGATGACTCACTACCTTCTTCCGGGGAACAATCCCAAAGAATCTTCCAAACCAACTCGAGAGCTAGACCAGCTCTCTTCTACGACAGAAGGGATCTAGAAGTATGTCCCGTTTTGACATCTGCCGAAACAGACATCGACACCGTAGAAGTTTTCAAGGACTTCGAATTTCAGGTGAGTAATTTTTTCACGATTTTTGGTCAAAATATTTACGGTGTGCTTTGATCAAAACAAAAACACGTATCTTGCACGAAACGAAAGATAATTCGGTGCAGCGATGCCTCACAGATGTGGGAAGGGACAAAGTTGCCACATGGTCGGTAATTACCAGTAGGTCAGGGAAAGTACGTCTTTGGACTAATTGTATGGGTCTGTTTGACTGATTCAAATTGGACTGAACGTAATCCTTTATGATCTGGTGTTCTCATGATTTTTGGTCAAAATATTTACGGTGTGCTTTGAGCGGTGATTTTTTAGGACAAGTGTTCCTCCTGAATTACTGGCCACAACAGCTAAGGTACAATCCCAACATGTGTAATAAAAGATACTATCCAACCACTCATGAGTCTTTTTCAACCCCAGAAAGATAAACATATAATAACTAGCGCAAAATATAATCATACGTCCAGGAGACGTATGTAAAATTAGGCTTTCTAATTCAAATCATTAACTTGCTGACGTACATTACAATTTAAAATAACTGTTTAAATACTACTCCAAGAAACAAGACGAAGATTTAGCGAACTTTAATTTTTATTGAAAAATGACAAACAAAAGTTGTCTAGGTACTTCTTTGCAAATTAACAAAGGACTCAGGTCATTTTGTAAACGAACATTTGAAGTGACTTCTAGTCTTTATATCTGCATATTTTAACTTAATTTCACTTTCCATTAAAACTTTTAATTTTCGATGTAAAATGCATCTCATGGCACAAGTCAGTTTTATGTTCTCCACAAACAGGCATTTTGCACTTCGTGCATGGTAACTTTGACATTCTGCGGATTTTGGATAAACAATATGACTATTGCTATCTACTGGTTATTGAAAAATCGCTCTCCAGCGATGCGATCTACCTATCTGATTTTGCACCAACTGAGTGCGTATACGTAGTCATGCCATAAGTTCTGTCCCTCGTTTTCAAACAAGTGTAGACCTGTTAATACTTGTCCGATTGTTTACATTGTGGTGTCAGTTGATTAAGCGCTTTTCGGGTAATTACATATACCTCAGTTTGTATTGATCTCTCGAAGCATAACGATGGAGTGGGGCAAGGCAGAGAACCGTATTGCAGTGATAGCTTTACATAAGTGTAATCACAGTGCTAGTCAGATTTTTGAACTCTTACGCGGCCTTCAAATATCGCGTAAATTTGTGTCTAGGACCATTCAGCGGTACAATGAGACGTCCTCTGTTGATGACAGGCCAAGAAGCGGAAGACCTCGTCAAGTAAGGACTCCAGCAGCCATCAAAGCCGTAAAAGCCAGGATTCAAAGGAATCCACTCCGGAAGCAGAAGATCCTATCCAGGGAAATGAAGATTCCTGTCCGGACGATGTCGCGCATCATTAAACAAGACCTAGGGCTAGGGGCTTACCGGAGACGTACGGGCCAGCGACTTACGGCCACCTAGCGACACATCAGGGCGACAAGATCCAAGAAGCTCTTGGAGAGGTACGCAGCTGGGGGATTCCGAAAGATTTTGTTCACGGGTGAGAAAATCTTCACCATAGAAGAAAAATTCAACCGACAAAATGACAAAGTGTATGCAAGGAGTTCACAGGAAGCTTCGGAGATCATTCCGAGAGTTGAGAGAGGCCACCACCCTGCGTCAGTCATGGTTTGGTGGGGGGTGTCCTACGAAGGGGTCACTCAGCTCCATTTCTGTAAACAGGGCGTGAAAACAAAAGCGGCAAACTATCAGAGCGACATACTGGATCCTATCGTCAAGCCTTTAAGTGGTACATTGTTTGCCAACCAACACTGGGTCTACCAGCAGGATTCCGCCCCCGCTCACAAGGCTAAGAGTACGCAGCGCTGGCTGGAAAGCAATGTGCCAGAGTTCATTGCTGCGGAAGATTGGCCCTCAGGGAGTCCGGACCTCAATCCTTTAGACTACAAGTTGTGGGACCTGCTAGAGCAGTTGGCCTGCTCCAAAGCCCACCGTAATATCGAGTCCCTGAAAGCGGATTTGATCCGATCAGCGGCAGCTATTCCTTTGGAAGCTGTGCGTGCAGTGATAGATGAGTGGCCCGCGAGATTGAAGCAGTGTGTGAAGGCCAAGGGGGGACATTTTGAATAAAACTGTTTGATTATGAATTCTAAAAATGTTGTCGAATAAATAATATCTTTCATATAAATATATCTTATCTTGTTTCATTTTTATCATGAGATTATCATGGGACAGAACTTATGGCACGACTACGTATGTATAGACAATCACAAATGCCATGGCTCGAAATGCATCTTTGAGGTCGCGAGCCTTCAAGCCGATTTGTTAGCATCTCGACGCTCGAACACATCTTGTTTTTTTGCAGGCGCCTCTGTTTGCATTATCATTTCATCATCATGAGGAACAGACTTTGATGGATCTTCAGCTTTTCAACCAATTTATCTTCAGTATCATTCTGCACGTTATTTCCTGATTCGTTCACTTCAACTTCACTTTCACACTCTGATGACGAAATTTCTTCATTTTTATTCAGAAATACTTCAATTTGAATACTGTTTAGTACACTTCGGTTCGCTATTAAGATGAATAATAAGTAACCGTGATTAATAAATAAGCAATCTTTCCAAACAACTTACAGAAGTTTCATACAAGATAATCATACCTACGTCTCGCAGACGTTTGGCTTAACAATATCTGATAAGGTACCACTGTCGCCTTGCGCGAGCTCCAGTCGCCTACTGACTTAGCTCAAGCAACTAGCACGCACAGAAACATCTGACACGTTTTCTAGTGAAAATTGGTCTTATAATTGCTGCAGAATTGAGCCTATTTCTTTAGAGCTGTGCCACAGCTCAAATAGTAAATATTAGAGTGATTATAATAATAATAATAATCTTTATTCACTCAGTGTACAGGGTGGTCAATTAAGAATGCGAGGTACTCTATCTGGGAATCTATCCATCGTAGAGGATTGCGGCAAAATTTTTTTCACTAAAACGGCCAAGAGAAAACACTGAAGAAATATTTTCAAGTTTCTGAAATGGCTGCTAGGGGGCGTAACTGCAATGTTGAATCTAAAAAGTGATGTTTCTGTGAATTATGCTTTATTAACCGAACAAAAAAATACCTAATCTTTAAGGTCGAGGATAATGTGAACTTTTTTGTTTGACAATTGTTGATGTATCTCTAAAAATAAAGTGGTGGGGGGTATTCAAAGGTTTCAGTAAAACATCCTATATCTTCGAAACGGCTGAGCCGATTTTAACAAACTTGGGCTAGTTGAAAAGAGCTATTCTTAGGGGCTACAAATGTGATAGTACTTGAATTTTTGTTAGTTTCACAGAGGGATTTTTTCGACATTCCGATAGAAATGGTTATTTTTCTCAAAAAATGCATTGCTATGATTTTTTGTATGTAAAATTAGCTAAATGATGTCTAAATAAGCTAACAAAAACCGCATCTCGATATCTTGTCCCTAACATAAAATTTAGGTCAAAGAAAATTTTATACCGGAATCCCTTAAATTTTAATTTTTTTAAACTAATTTTTTTTGGAATTTTTTTTTTTTTCATCAGAATAAAATCACCCTTTTTTAAAATCTTACAAAATATCGCTAAAAGTTAAGTAAGTAATGCTAATAACAAAAGGCATATTTTTTGTTTAAATGGGTATATACGAAAAAGACAATTAATAGAAGCAGGCCATGGAATGCAACAAAACGAATACCTAATCAAAACATAAATAATTGTCAATAGTTTCGCGTTACTTTGAGTAATTTTTGTGCTTACCAAATGCGTTTTACAAACGATGAAGCTGTTTATATGCTTGCTTTTTACTGTCAATGTCTTCAGAATGCCGCAGGCAGCAAAAGGGTTTACGCGACTCAATATCCAAATCTGCGCTTTTGCGATGTGAGAGTTTTTCCCCGATTAATAGCGAGCTTACGAGCCAATGGTAGTTTTCGGCCTCCGTTTCAACGGCAAAGATTTGGAAAAACAAAAAATATTAACCGCGTACTAAGATATATTGAAGGAAATACTCAGGTTAGCACAAGATCATTATCCCTTGAGTTGGGTATATCACGAACAACGGTTCAAAATATTTTGAAGCACCTTTGGTAAGTTCTAATGGGCATCAAAATATAGGGACTTATTTAAATTTCAACATTAAAATTACTACGGCGACCGGGTCATTTGGTAGTAATGTTATTTATACTACGACGGAAACTAACAAAAGACACGCTCGCACATCTAACATCATAAAAGGGTTCTTAACTGAATTCCGCGTTTAAATTAACTAGGTAATTACTTTTATACTTATCTTTCATCATGAAAAAATAATTTGGACACTAGGTGGTGGTTTGAACAGTCATCAATTTCACCAATTAATTAATTTTTTTTTTATACTCCAACTACCACGAAGGCCTAAGGCCTAAGCCCCCAGTGGGTACCGTGGGGCTATAGGGGGATACATGGAAAAGGGGGGGACGCCACACGGACTCTGGCGAGGGAACACGTGTGCATGCAACATGCACACATTCTGGCTCCGCCTACGAGAACCGCCGGGTGGTACCTCCGCGTTCGACAGTCACAGACCATCTACCACCTACGGACAATCACAACATCCATAGCCAAGAGAAAAATTTCTCCTGGGACGGGACTCGAACCCGCACAGCGCACGGCGACTGATCAGGAGACCGAAGAGTGAGTCTGCTACTGCGGCCACCGCTGCTGCCTAAAACAAACACACAACATCCATGGCGAAGGCGAGATTCGAACTCGCGGCCCGGCCGGCCGGCTGATCAGTAGCACGACACTCTGACCCACGCGGCCAACCGAGGTCCAGAAAGGGATTCTTGGTTGTCTGCTTTTTGCATGCTTATCTTTACTGATTTCAGTTATAAAACTAAATCTCTGCTAAATACTCAGTAGTTTTAGATTTCTTGTTTTCATTTTGTCTACTTAGATTACTATGCAGTGGGGTGGGAAGTAAAAATTTTCAAATAAATATGTCTATCCATTACTCCCTCCACGATGCTCTCTCACATATCTCTTTC